AAAAAGAAGCCAAGTACATGGTACTAGAATTGAACAGAGCCCACCCACCACAGGCTAAAGGGAGTTAAAGTATAAACTTCTTTCAAAGACTTTGTTTTGAGCTGGAGACTTGACTATAGTGATAGAACTCCTGTCTACCAAGTGCAAAAGCCTGAGTTTAAACCTTGGTAGCACTGACTTCCTAGTCAGTCCCCCCACTGAAGCCATGGTTTAAGCAGCCCAGGTACAGCTCAAGTTGATGGCAGACTTTGGCATCATCTAAATGATGTTGGTCTATCAAGCATACAGAATGCAAGAGCTATACAGTCATGGTATCAGATGAAACCCTGGAAAGTGAGGCAGTGAATGGCATATTCAGAGTCCCTCTGGGAAGCCCCTGAAAGGTCAATGCATGAAGCTCTGAGAATGAAGCTGAAGCTGCAATGGAGACTCCATGTGTTAGACTTTTCTTCCTTATGACAGATACCTGAGAAAAACAAGTGAAGAGAGGAATGCTTTATTTTGGGTAATTGTTTCAGAGGACTCAACCCATCATTGACTGAATCTATTGCTTTGAGTCTGAGGCAGGTCAGAATGTAATGGCAGCAAGAGCGTGTGGCATATGCTGCTCACCTGTGGTGGCCAGGAGGCAAAAAGAGGAAGGGGAGTCTGTGTTCAGGGCAAGATATAGCACCTAGGACATGCCTCCAGTGACCTACTTCCTCAGGCTAGGCCCCATCTCCTAAAGTTTCCAGCACCTTCCAAAACAGCATCTCCACCTGGGGACCAAGGCTTCAACACATATTCAAACCCTAACACCTCCGAAGTTGGATATGCCAGGAACATGGAATGTCTGCAAAGGAAAGCTCTGCAGTGAGCAGAACCAGCCCAAGAGTGGTCATACTAGTGACCACTCTTTGGTCATGTAAGTGACCAAACCCTTTGGAGCGCACATGCCCCAGATACTGGACATCAAGCTACAGGATTAATGTTTTCCTGGTTGGATTTTGGTCTTGCTTTGGTCTGATACTTCCTTGGTGTTCCCGTTCCTCCCTTTTAGAATGGGAATACTTACTCTGTGTTATTTTACCTTGTGAGGTTGTAAGTTGCTTCTTCACTTTCACAGTTGCACACAACTAAGAATTTGCACTAAATCTCAGGAGACTTTGGACTTGGACTTTTGAATAATACTGGAACTCCTGGAAATTTGGGGACTCTTGAAGGTGAACTATATGTATTTTCCATTGAGATGAACATGAATCTTTGCAGGTCAGAGGCAGAATGGGTTGGGGCTGGCAGAGTGCCTCAGTGGTAGAGAGCCTGCCTTGTAAGCATGAGGCCCTGAGTTCAAACTCCAGTACTGCCCCACCCCCAGAACATTTCTTCTGAAATGTTCTCCGAAGACCATGTGCCAAAGGCTCAGTCCCGAGTTGGTGACATTACTGGGAAATAATAGTAGAAATTTTAGGATGTGGGGCCTAATCAGATGAAGCAGGGAACAGGTCTTTTTCATATTTTCTATTCCTTCAATTTCTGCATCTTTTTCTATGAGTTTGTCCAAATTTAGTGCATATAGTTCATAACAGTCCTTTATAATCCTTTTTCCTTTTCCTTTCTGTAAAGTTGGCAGTAATTTTTTTCTTTCATTTTGTTCAATTTTTTTCAAAAAAAAAAACCAACGTTCAGTTTTGTTGGGATTGGCTACTGTTTTTCCATTCTTTCTTCCAGTTATTTCTTCTCTAGTCATTATTTGGGTTCCATTTGCTCTTGTTTTTCTGATTCTTTGTAGCCAAAGGCTAGATTATTGACTTGGGACATTTCTTCCTTTTAAATACTTGTGTTTTAGCTATAATCTCCCTCTAAGCACTGCTTTAGCTACATTAGTTTTAGTTTTTTGTTGTTGTCTTTTTTCTTTTTTGGCAGTATGGGGTTTGAAACTCAGGGCTTCAGGGCTACAGGCTTGCTAAGCAGGCAGCTACCACTTGAATCCCTGGCCCATAAATTTGTTTTTATCTTCATTCATCTGAAAACATTTTCTGCTCTCTGTGATGATTTCTCTGACCCTCTGTTATTTAGGAATATGTTTATTTCACACAGTTGTGAATTTCCTTAACTTTCTTCCTTGTAGATTTCTAGTTTAATTCTGTCATGGTCAGAGAAGACATGTGGCCAGGTTTCAATGCTCCTAAATTTCTTGAGGCTTGTTTTATGATAGTCTATCCACAGAAAGCTCCAAATGGGCAGAGAAGAATGTGTTTTCCGGGAGACACACAAACAGGTTAAAGGAGCAATTCAGAGGGGCATGAGGACAGATGGAGAGAGCTGTGGACTCCACTAGAATACGTAAGAACAGGCACAGGTTGACTTTAGGAAGGTGAATCAGATCAGAAAAGCTGGCAACAGGAGGCAAGGAAGCTGAAGCGGTAGAGGCTGGCTGCAGGTATGGAGGTGGCCTGGAAAGGACACTAGCATGAATGTTAACCTCTGGTGGAAACTCTTCCAGTGCAGGAGTTTCTTCTCCCTATACAGCTGTGTTGTTGAACACTGCCTTATGAGCAGAAATGCTCACAAATTGTTTCCTAAGCCAAATCTAGGAGGTGAGGTCTAGAGAAGCTGGCAGGCCTCTGGCCTCACTGAGCAGGTGAATGGATGGGCATGGCACTGCCCTCCCAAGTGGAGAGCACAGGATGGGGTAGCATTGTCACTCAACCTCAACATATGCAATCTGAATCATGTACGTATGTATGTATAAAGCCAAGGCTCTGCAGCTCAAATGCAGAGCCCAAGAGGTCACACCAGCATAGCACAGCCCAAGAGGGTCAGAGCTTGGAGCCCTGAATGCAGACCTGAGAGGCTGCTCCCCAAAGGACAAAGGTGCATATGCAGCACAAATTACTCTATAAGTATTTTCTCTCCTTTTGTAGATTGTATTTTCGCTGTTGTGTCTTTTGGTTTGTTTTAAACTGGGGATTGAACTGAGGACCTAGTGATTGCTTGGCAAGCACTGTAACACTTTTGCTTTTAGTTTTTCAAACAGGGTCTCACACTAACTTTCCCCAGGCTGTCCTTGAACAGTGATCTGCCTACTTTGCCTTCTGAGTAGCTGGGATTGTGATCGTGTCCTTTGATGAGCATAAATTTTTATGCTTGCTGTAATCCCACTGGCCTTTCTACTTTCATTACCTGTGCATTTAGCGCCATACATGACCAGAAGTCATTGCCAAACCCAGACTCATGAAGCTTTTCCCATGATTCCTTCTAGAGACTTTGCAGCTTTAGGTCTGTTTAGTCTTCAATCCACTTTGAGCTAATTTTCGGGCCCAATGTAAGGTAGTGTCGTCCAAGTCTCTGAGAGACCCGTTTGTCTATGAAACAGGCGAAGGGTCTTCTGCACAGTTACACAAATGTGCAGATGAAGTTCACAGGCCTGGGAAACCTGGCCTTCCTGAGGTCACATTACTCCCCAACAGTTACTGTCTTCCCTCTTCATCTCATCTTTGTCTGGCACTGACCCTTGTCAGTTCATCAGAGGACACGGTGCAGTCTGGAGGGAACATTTCCCAACAAGGAAAATGGATACAATCCTCCCCATGAGTTTGAAAAACAGTCTAGGGAAAGCAGATTGAAGTGGTATTGAAGAGAGCTCTTCTTCCACTAGGCCATAAAGTTGACTCTTTATCCTGTATGTAGAACTCATGTTCTTCCTAAGCCCCAGATGTAGAGTTCATAACATGGAAAGTTTTGTGTAACTCAGTTGACAGCAAAATGTAACCTGAACTGGCATAGGATATTTGCTGTGGAAATATCGAAACTTGAAAAATTCTGATTCAGAAACCCATCCTTTCTTAAGCTTTTACTGTAAGGGACTGTAGTTTACGATGGCTTTCCCTGCCCTGGTCTCACTTTCGGCAAAATAATTAACTCAAACTTTACTTCAACGTGGTGCCTTGTATATTTGCCGATGGCATTAGAGCAATAGGTAACTTTGCCGCAATTCTTACTGGAATGCGTAACATAAATGAAGGAGGACCAATCAGTGACCGGCGCTATTTCCGACCACACTGCAATTGCTGCAACCGGTTTAAGGTCACCTTTTGGACTGCTTGTTTGAATCTACAAAAACAAATCCCTTGGGCGCTATTCGCAGCCCTTATTCTGAGACAAGAGTGGACACACACCGCCTGGGGCAAAGGCCCGCGGCTTGCGGAGGGAGGCGCGGAACCCGCTGCCAGCATCCTCAGGCCGCCCCAGGGCCTGGCCGTCCTCACGGCCGGGGTCGGGGTCCCGGGTCTCCTCACCGCGGTGGGTGATCTCGTCCGCGCTCCCGGATGTCTGGGTGCCGTTTTAGAGAGCGGTCCTGCGAAAACGCCGCCGACGACCGAGTTTCCCACGTCCCCACGAATAAGGCCTCCCGACAGCGTTGTCACGCCCGCGATGGTCCCCAGAGACCTAACCAGTCAACGTGCCGCAACGTGAAGACAGGGGGCGGGGCGGCGGGCAGCAGCAGAGAACCGGGCTCGGAAGACAAGGCTGGACTCCGGCAGTCACTGCGCACGCTCCTCCCCAACCCGGACGCAGTGCGACGCAAACCGGGACCCTTAGTCTCGCGACGCCGCAGTGCGCCAGGGGAGTTGTGGGACAGAAATTTGCGTTGCATGCCGGGACTCGTAGTCTCGCGATGTCGAAACCTCGGAGTCACTGAGTCCGGAACGGCCGTCCGCGTCGCGTGCAGGGATCCGTAGTCTCGCGGCGTCGGCTCTCGCAGTGTGTGACGGGAGTTGTGACAGGGACCCGCGTTGCATGTCGGGACCGGTAGTCTCGCAATGTCAAGACCTAGGGGGCGACGGGAGTCTTGTAATAGGGATCAGCTTCGCATGCCGACATTCTTAGCAATGCGATCCTGCGCACTTCACCAGGGGTGTGGCCCAACGCCTCCGAGCCCCGCGTGGGCCCTGGTGTGTACTCGGGGGCCTGAGCGCACGTACCAGGCGGTGGCACGTCATTAGCCCCGCCCTCCGTGACGTCAGTACGCCTCCCGGAAGCGGGCGCGTACCGAGTGGCGGGTGAAGCCGGTGTCCGAGCGGGAACCGCAGTGTCGCCGCCGCCCGCGGTGGGCGCCGCGCCCTGAGCGCCCGCGGTCCTCACCGCCCGTCCGCCCGCCCCAGCCGCGATGGAGGCGCCGCCCGCCGCCCGCGTTCCCGCCGATGGCGCCCTGACGGCAGCCGTGGCCGAAGTGCACTGCCCGGGCCCCGCGCCGCTGCGCCTGCTCGAGTGGAGGGTGGCGGCGGGCGCGACTGTGCGCATCGGCTCCGTGCTAGCCGTGTGCGAGGCCGTCGCTTCCGCGCAGCCTGCCGGGCCAGCCCCAGCCCGCGCCGCCTCCGGGGGCTGTGTGCGCGCCGCGCGGGCCGAACGCAGACTCAGGTCGGAGCGCGCCGGCGTGGTGCGTGAGCTGTGCGCGCAGCCGGGCCAGGTTGTGGTCCCCGGGTGAGTGGGCCAGCCGGGGAGGGAGGGAGTCCCGAAATGGCCAGGGGGAGGGGCCCGGTAGGACCGGGGTCCTGCGCGGCCGGCCCCCGCGGGATGCAGTGCTGCAGCTCGGGCTGGTGGGCAGGGTGTTGGGATGAGCTGCTGAATGACAGCTTTGGAAGGGGGACCTGGACGGCAGTGAGTCTTTCTAAGGCTGAACAGCCCCTGTCGTGAAGGTACCAACCCAAAGGCATTTTGAGTTTTAGAAAGAAATTCCTAGCAACCCAAAGTTGCTCCCTTGGGAAAACTGCGTTAGTTCCTTTTGTTCTGTAAGAAGGTGGAGTGGATTCCATCTCTAAGTCAGGTTAACCCGGGTGGCTCAGTTGTACAGGACTACTAAAACAGGTTCCAGACTCGTTATAGAAATAGGAACTGCGGGGCGTGTTCATGTCTTTAAACTCTTGTAAAACTTTGTGAAACGCGGTTGTAAAACCTGGCGTTCTGCATCGTAGCTAAGGAGGGGGCAGAACCCGGCCTGCATCCAGATGAGAGGGCAGTACATAACCATGCGTGAACTCCGTAGCTGTCATGCCCGCGCCCTACCTTCATCAAGGGATATGTTTACGCTTAAAAGTATTTGATGCTGTAACTGCTTACCTTATGTCTGAATTTGCTAATGATGTGTTCTGAGCACATGGCTGTGGTTGTTTTGATTGTAAGAAACAAACTGCAGGGTGAGGCAAGCGCTCCTGCCTACAGCAGGTTGGGCAAGAGAGCTTCCCCTGGGAAAGGACATCACTCTGTCTGGGCTGCTTGCTGGCATGCTCTGGTGACCTCTGCCCCTCCTCTCTTTGGCTGGCAGCACCCTGCCTTTATTGAGTGTTTGCTACTTGCCATTCATGTAAGGACTAGGACAGCACTGGCGTCTTGTCACACACCCAGAACATTCTGTTTCGCCGTCTTTTCTGCCTTTAATTCCCAGCCTCAGAGATGGGTCTTTGCTTTGTGATTCAGGTGCTCACTGCTACCCAGTGAATGCTGGAGACTGGGAATATGAGGCCAGCAGGCAGAAAATGTGCCATTTCAGGGCTGTGACCTCTGAGGGAGCTGTGTGCATAACTTCCTTCAGAAGGATGTGCTGTGGACTTGGTGAGCACAGTCTGTATGTCAGAAGTTACTTTATCTTCACTTGGGCCCTTATTAGCACTTAGTCTCAAGTCATGGATTGTGGAGGTTAAGTTCAGCACTTCTGAATTCACTGGTAGAAACCCCCCAAACTGAAGAGCTCTTCTTATTTCATTCTGCTCCTCTGTTTGTACAGAAGGGGACACTGAGGCCCAGCAAGGTATGTGACTTGGTCATGTAACTAATCAACATAGAAACTCTTATCAATTAATGAATCAGACCCACCCAGTTCACTGACCTACACAACCAGCCAATTTAGTTTGGTGACAGGTTCCCAACAGCTGGTAGTTTTCTCCTTTTGGTGTTTGAGATCTTGGGGTGTCTTATAGCAGTGGTTTGTCACACTAGTCTGAGAAACTGATGACTTGTGTAACTTCTCAGATGAAGCATCCAGGTGGCACCTAAGGTATTCCTGTAATCCTGGGAGGCTCACTAATCCCTGAACCACCAATCCACGATTGGCAGGTGAATCCCTGCTTCAGAGAAAGCCACAAACAATATTACCTTGAATTTAAAATGTGTCCTTCCCTATTCCCATCGCTCATGTGTATTTGTGTACGCCTTCCAGGGAGCATCAAGGTGATAAGACAGTCACATTTCCAGTGGTGTTCCTGCATGTGCACAAGTGACAGGTGTGATAGGTCCATTTGAGAGCAGTTAGCAGTGGCTTTAAAGCCCTGCTTGTGTTTCCTGTGGCAGTTCTAATGATTTCTTTGAAATAATTTTCATGACTTTGAGTTGAATTCCACTTGTGCATGAATTTAGTGCTGAGTGCAATTCAGTTGGACGTTCAGTCTGCCCTGGTTGGAGGGGGCTGCAGTCTTGCCTCCCCAAAATGCTTGCTGTGTTTTTGAGGGACACAGTTTGAAAATCACTCTTGACAGAGATTTAATACAGCTATCATTTACTAGTGAGTTGTTCATAGGGCAGCATCTGCTGTGTAGACTGCACAGCTTGGCTGATATCTGCCAAGAGGGAGCAGCAGGTAGAGGTCTGCATAGCTCTTCATTCATAGTCCCTCCACAATGAGCATCTGTAATGGAGATGTGTGTCCTTGTGTGATTAAGTAAAGAACATTGGGTAGAATTCCATCCTGATGCTGAACAGTGCTCCTCGTGAGCGTTAAACCTTGGTTAGTGAGGAACTAACTGTTTTGCCCTCTCTAAGGACCTAAGCCGTAGTACTTTGTTTTTAAAAGGATCTCCCTCGTTTTGCTTTCAGTCTCTGATTGTTTGGGGTGGTTGTGTCCTGCATCAACTCCACAGCCCTAGTTGGTGGCTTCACTCCTGGTTTAGACTGAAAGCTGAGGATGTCAGGGTAGAGGCACCATTACCAATTCATCTGTATTTCTGCTTGACAGCCCCAGATGTTTAACTTGGGATGAGCAAATCCCCCGAATCACAATTAAGGCTATTTTGTAACTGATTTATCTTAACAGCTCCCCAGTCTTGCTCAAAGTCTCAAGTGTGGTTTTTTGTTTATTTATTTTCACTATGTAACCCAGGCTGGACTTGAACTTGTGATCTTCCACCTTAGTCTCCTGAGTGCTGGGATTACATTTGTGCATCACCCCGTCTAGCCTTCAAGTTCTTAAGATCATACAGGAGAGCCACCATTTGGTGATGTTTGCATTAAACCTTTATAGATTGGGTATTGTGTGTTGATCCTCAGAGAACCCCCGCAGCTTGTCCCAACAAGTTTTGGGTGAATTTACAGCTGTTGTGAAGAGAATCTTGGCCTACCCTCAGCTCACTAATGGGCAGGGAAGGGTTCTCTTTGTGATCTTTCTTCCCCTTCATTCCAGCCTCCACCTACCAGTGGAACCTGTGTCTCTTGTCAGAGCAGCATCCAGTTTTGCAGACCGGTTGGAAGCTCAGGTGTCAGAGGTGTTGTTGACCGGCTGCCTGCACAGTATGAAGTTAATCCAGCTGGCTAGGATCTGATGGAAACTCCACTTCCAGGTCCCTTTGGTCTCTGTGCTCTACAGTCTGATCCTTCACAGATGTTACTGAATGGTCACCCACCCGCGCCCCCTCCCCCCACTTCTGGCTTGCTCTTTCTGTGACAGAAAGTCAGTGCTAAGAAACCTCTCCTCTAGCCCTCCCACAAAGAGTTGTGTTTTGTCAGTGGTCTGATCACCTATGCTCTTGCAGGCTTTGTGGAGGAGCATCTGGCCACAAGCACCTATGGGGTTTCCTACCCATGAGTGTTTCTTCCTTTTGATTCCTCACAGGGCTGGTAGCATGCTTATTTTTGAAGAATGAGGCAGTCTCTTGAAGGAAGGTCATTGAGTTTTCTGAGCTGGGGCTGTGGAAGCATGGATACTTTGCAGCTTGAGTGTGTGGACTTGGGTGATAGTCAAGCTTGTTGACAGGCTGCTTCTCAGTAACTTGTTTTTGCTGAAACTCTGTATGTGTAAAACTGACCAAGGCAGGCAGCTCATGTAACCTGTGGCCAGCACTCTCACAGGTGCCAGGAGACAGAGAATAAGCTCTGATCCTGTTCCTGTGGAATTTAGAGCTGAAGTCTAAAAAATTCTTTAGAGCACAACATTGAGTCTGTTGAGGTGAGCCTCATGTGGTTTGGTGCTGGATATTGAAGCAGAGTACTGCAGAGACAGGCAATGGAACTGTGGCTCCATAGAGTCTCCTCTACATGCAACCAGCAGGCATGTGTGGCGGTTCTTATCACTGTTTTTGTGGTCATTAAAAACATTTGGCCTGACCACATCTGAGCTTTTTAGACAAAGAACAGTTCTAGGACTTAGTGCTACATTTGGATGACATTAATTAATTACTAGATTGTCATTTTGCACTGTGGTAGCATTGTATGCTTCCATAGCACTTCATTCTGTCAGATGGAAAAAGGAACTCTGGAAGGAAGCTGCAGGTCCACAGTGGCGTGGTGCATGTCACACCGCGTGCTGGAGTGTATAAATGCTATTCCTCTGTGTTCCATGGGCTGGATCTCATCCCTAGAGATCCCCAGTGTGGGCAATAGGGAGAGAGGGAGTATGTAGCTGTTAGTGTAACATTCATGGAATTTAAATTACTGTAATTGGAAATACTATGACAAGACACATCTGTCAGAAACAAAATAAATTATTGGTTTGTCAAATTTTCCTTGTTCTTCTTGATTTTCCTTTTTTTTTTGTTTTGATTGTTGCTTTTTTTTTTTTTTTTCCTATTGTCATTTATGGAAAGACACTGAAGTCCCCAAAGCGGGGCGCGGAATACCTAAAGTAATCAGGGTATGTATGGGACCAGTAAGAGCTGACAGAAGTGTGGGCTGTGGATGTGGGTTTGGTGGCCTGCTACTGAAAAAGTGTCTGCCCAGCCAGTGCTGGCTTGAGATCGCCACTGAAAGCAAGAAATCCTTCATCGGATTTAGAACCAAAACTCTTGGACTGTGATAAAGTCACTTAGAATAGAGTGCAACCTAAAGTAGCTCCATGTTTCAGTGTTATAAAAGTAGGTAGTAAGATGTTTAAAAACCTAACACATTTCAGTCAGTGCACTAAAATAATCCTCTCAAATTAGAAATAAGGAAATTTCTTTTTCATCTTGAGATCAAGAATCTTGATGAATTAATAGATTCTTTTAGTTGAATAACCGTATTGCTCTCTGTTGGCATCTGCATTGTTTAAAAGATTTACTCAGTTAATACATTCATATCTGAAACTAGGGATATTGTAACTGTTTAACAGAACTCATTAAATTTAGTTTATCTGTACTTAGGATGCAGTTTTGTTTCTTTTCTTTTTTGTTGTTTTGTTTTGAGACAGGGTAGCTCAATTTGGCCTTGAACTCCAGATCCTTCTGCTCCAGCCTCCCAAG